AACTGCCGTTTAGTAACTGCTAAAGGCTGTATACATCTGCAACAATACTTATAGTACAAAATTGCTGTGCTCGGTATACATTTGTTACTAAATACGTATACAACTTTCTGCTGTTATCTTTTTGAGTTAAATGCCTTAACCAATATTTTAAGACAAGCAACGCATGAATTTTCGATTTAACGGTTTTATCAATTCTCCAAACAGACGATATACATCTGGTAAAAACTCGGGCAAGGAATTCGACTCTGTCCGTATTTCACTTAAGAGATTTGTCAAACTGCTGTATAACCCCTGCAGATAATACCAAAATGTTCAAATAAATCTAAGACAATATGGACGATGCTATGATTATACATAACTGGGTAATAAATATTTTCTGATCTACTATAATTCCGTTCCGAAGACTTGGGCGTGTATGGTACCGAATCAGTAGGCGACAACCAATGATACAAACGCTTAGAATTTGCTGAACAAATGGTAAGACGATTTAATTTGTTATCATTTGTCAGTTCATGTGGGACACATTTGCTTAACTTCCACGTCTTTGCTAGCTGACGAAGATGCAAACGAATAGTTTCCGGACTCACTCTGAACATTTCTGCAAGTTCTTGGCAAGTTGTCCTGGAATTTGCGTCCACAGCCTGTTGAAGATCCTATCGATCAACAACATCCATGGCAGTGTGCGATATACAACATCCGCACGAACTTATTTGGGTACCTGATATTATTCATCTTGCATAAACATTACATAAGATATAGTTTGGTTGAAGTAGAATCAAGTAACGGACTGGTTTCATAGTTGACAAAAACTGAATCTTGTAAATGTTCTTTAGCGGCTGTAAGAGGTTTGCTCTTTTGTTGCGTAACTGTTACCAGTAACCCTTATACAATCTCTTAGGCCCGTATCGTCAGTCGTCCCCACAATTATAGGGTGCCTTTATGGCCTCTTTGATTGTCATAATTTTCTACTTCTCCGTGTCAGCGCTCTATTTTGAGGTTATGTCACAAACATCTATTTGCATTAGATTGTGCTTGCCTTTGAGTTATATCATATTTTATCAGCCTGAAATTTCCTACAATTTAAAAAGAAAACATATCTTCACAATAGGAGCGCGCTGACGCTGACACGGGACAGGTGCAATCTAGAAATTTTTGATGGAGAGAAAGCAGTATGACAATCAAGGAAGCCATAAACGCGGCCTATAATTGTATGAACGACTGACGATACGGGCCTTAAAGTCCGTATCATCAGTCGTTCATACAATGATTGTAGGATGCCTTTATGGCCTCCTTGATTTTCGTAGTCTCCAGAAAGGCTGATATAAATCAAAAGCATGAACAATTTAATGCAAATAGTTATTTGTACCATAACCTCAAAATGGAGCGCTGATACGGAACACTAGGAAATTATGAATATCGAGGAGGCCATAAAGGCGTCCCGCAATTATAGGAACGACTGACGATACGGCCCTTAGTGTCGTATTAGCTGCGCTTATACAATGCTATGAAAAGAATACTGCATAATCCTTCTTGTAACCCTAATAGTAGTGATAATTGTTAGTTAGGTGTGACATGCACACATTCTGACACCACCTTAGAGATCACCACGTTCCACGATCTGAGACCAGGTGGTAGCCTATAGGCAATCGTAACATCCTTGGCTAGGAAAAAAATCTCTTGAGACGGGATTCTAACACCGCGCTGCCAATGTATATCTAATGTGCCGTGGCTAATTTCATACTTCCCACTCGAATATATGATTCTGAAGTTAACAGCGATAAATTGAAAAGTCGCAGCTGTGAAAAGTGTTCCATGAAAAATAATGTGCCCGGATGCAGAGATGCATAACGTCCACATGCTTCTGTGTCGAGCATATACGACGAAGACGAAGGCGTATATTTCTACATCTACTTACATCTGTCTGGAAAATGCAGGAGGAATTTCACGAACATGCCGGCTATACATTCTTTTATCGCTCACGGAGACATGAGTAGAAAATTGAATTTGACTAAACCCCGAGTAGATCATAGAGAAACGAATTTACTCAATTGACACTGAAAATTCGAGGAAAACTCGAAGCAGTTGTCTTTATTGTTTTACTGAGGTGTATGTTTCCAAGTCCGGAAAGGTATCTACATTTTATATTAGAGCCTTTAGTACAAGATGTTTCAGAGTACATGATACATTCAAAAAAGATGATACAATATGCAGATTTTCATTTTCAGTATGTTTTTAAATCGCAGTAGGATAACTCTGTTTATCATTCAAAAAGCTACATCACTCTCTTTCCAAAATAAGCACCAGTCGAGTACCGTAGGGCCTGAGCTATAGAGTAGATTTTTAGGGAAATCACGATGTTTTTCAAGTAAAACTGCAATAAAAACAAAAATTTAAATATATGATTTTGCAATTCAATGTGATTCTATAACAGCTTAGAGTACATATTTATGATTGGGTTTGAGGTGGGTGTCTTGCGAATAAAAGTAATGAGGACAAATAGTAAATTATCCGATTTTAAGCGGCTTAGTTTTGATAACCAAGATTACTTGATTTTGTTTTAATTACAACCGATTTGCTACTGTTAGCGATGAAATATCTTGTCCAAAACAAAAAAATAGTATCTCACCCCACTTTTTACGCATAAAAAATAGACGCACTACTTTTTTCCTGGCACGACACATAATCTCGTCCAACAATCCGATTTCACACATTTTCACCAAATAACGCGTTTTTTACTGACTCAGAGATTTCCATAAAATGCGAAGTATTTTGCTTTATTGCTTCCAGGTCCAACATTTGTGGTACAGGTTGATCCCGAATACACTAACTTGTTAGTAAAAGGACAATGGCCATATATACAGAGTGATAAAAAAGGCAAAAACCTACGTATGTTTATTAAAATTCAAGAATCTTTTACATTAGGCAGCAGCGGTGGCCGCAGTAGCAGACTTTTCGGTCTCCTGATCAGTCGCCGTGCGCTGTGCGGGTTCGAATCCCGTCCCAGGAGAAATTTTTCTCTTGGCTATGGATGTTGTGATTGTCCGTAGGTGGTAGACGGTCTCTGACTGTCGAACGCGGAGGTACCACCCGGTGGATCTCGTAGGCGGAGCCAGAATGTGTGCATGCTGCATGCACACGTGTTCCCTCGCCAGAGTCCGTGTCGCTCTGGGAAACGCGAGTAGAAAATTGCACTGGACTCAGTAGATCATGAAGAAAAGTGACTGAAAATTACATTACCATTTTACTTATGGCTTATGAGTTTCCAGATCCGCACGGGGACTAGGTATCTTGAAAAGTGATGTTTTGTCGTTTTTTTTTTGACATTTTATAGCTTTTTTGTGACATAACGTAGGTTTTCCTACAAGATGTCAACGTAGCACTAGCTGATGTACATTTACTGTGAACTGGTTTTGTAGGTGTACGTGTTGCCTAAACCTCATGATGCTTCAGCTATCAAGGTTTGGCTCTGATGTGATCTGGAATCTGGTTCAGAAATAGAATTACTATAGGTCTAAGCTATAAGATCTATACTATATCTGGAAGGAAATGGCAGTGCATAGGTGCATAGTAAGAAGTTGTGATATGATGATAATTCCATTGGTTTCTTATCTCATTCATAGCTAGAGATTAGTTGCTCATCTACTTTTTCTTATTCATTCTGGAAATTACATACGCAAATTTTCTAAATTTCAAAAATGGAAGAGATAAGAAAAGGTGGAATCTTATATTTTATACTTACATACTACCACATATTGCAATCACATTCAAATTTCTCATTTCATATTTCATTTCGACAATACCTCTTCAAAGACGAAGATTGGTATATAAGTTGCAGTAAGCATTTTACCACAATGCTGGGTTATACATTCTTTTATCATGATTTCAGCGGGAAATTAAATTGAACTTCGATCCCAGTAGATCATGGAGAAACGAGTTTTCTCAATTAAAAGTGAAAATTCCATTTCCTTTGTTGTCTCAACTCATGTTGTTTCCCGGTCCGTGGATATTTCTGTTTATGTCAGACCTTTCAGTACAGGGTACTTAAAAAGAATATGAACTTCTTGAAAGGTTAATTAACATATCCGGTAAGGACGAGTCTTTTAATCGTTCAGTGTAAGTCGGAGACGTGAGGACCTTCTGCCATTTTCAGCGTATGCGCTGAAAATGTTGACAAATCGTTTGTAAGTGACGCTAAGCCGTACAGATGATTTCTAATAAGTATGAAGCAACGTTGTGTGCGGTTGGTCATAGTTACGGAAATGGAAAGCAGACAAATTCACAATAGCCGGTATCTATTTTTCGCAATCTCTTTGAAAGCCGTATCAGTTTATATCTACTCACATCAGTCCGGAAATGCAACATGGTGGGTTACGCACCTTTTTATTGATCTGGGAGACATGAGTGGAAAATTAAATGTGGTCAAACCCAGCGTAAAATATAGGGAATGGGTTAACTTGAAAGCTTAAAGTAGATGGCACTAGTTGGGTTAGCGGTCAAGTCTAATTCTAAGCTAGGGTAAGCTTACCCTTCTACCAATTCGGTCTTTTTCTTATCTACTTTTGACGCTTTGTCCTTCGTCCGCACCAGCACGCCTAATACAACGCTTCTATTGACACTGAAAAATCAAAGCAGTGCCCATTGAAGTTTTATCAATTCCTTCGTAATAGTACTACGTAATTCAACAAGTTCTTGACAGATTAGGCACTAGCTGTGACCTCAGAAAATAATCAATTTACTTAAATCTCCTTAAATGCTTGGTCTGCTGCACAGTGTGGCGCCCAATGGACAAAATTACTCAAAAACATAATTTTTGACAACAGAATTCTGTTGCTTTTATTATACCATTCGATAGATAAATAGTCGCTGCAACACGTAAGTATAGTACTTTAATCAAGTTGGCTGCGATTTACCTATTTTAGCAACTTTAAAGTTAGACATGTCGAGACCTGTCAAGAAGGCGAAAAATCTCTCTGTTTTATTGCTCGGGAAACATATAAATTTTGTGTCGAAATATTTAAATATTTTAACTTTTCCAATATGGCTGGTAATGAGGCTGGTAAGTACATTATATTGATGTATAGATTTATTTAAAGTATAATTATAATTAGATAATTTTTTAAGTTAAAGTGACTATTACCGATTTTTTTAATTTTTTTTAAACTTTTGACTTTGTTTAGAGTTTTACAAAAATCACCTCCCTCGTCACCCTAAAAATGTTTTTATTCATTGTTTATCTGTCCATAGTAAGTTTTGATAAAAAGTTTAAATCACGTCATGCCACGTCTAAGGGAGATATAATTTTTTTTAGGACATGGTGCTATTGTCAGAAATAGAGATTTGATTGATGTGTGGATAGAAGCACCGAGAGGAAATAGAAAACAGGTGGTTTATGAAAAAATATTATCTCTTATTGATATAACTGATGAACCTTCCAAACATCTTAAAAGTAATATTATGAAATGCAGCCAGTTGTTTGGGTTGAAAATGGCAAATAAATGGCAGAAAGTAGGACAATCTCGGAATCGACTTTTACAAAATCAGGTATATTGGTTAGACAAGATTATATATAGAATAAATAATGATTCTGAAGAAAACACATCTTCGGATGAGGAACAAGAACCTCCTTGTCACTCAGTTGGACGGCCACGGGTACCATTTGAAGAGGCATCGAAGAAAACAAAACGAAGACGTGTAGCCGAACTAACCACAGACAGATCTGCAAATGAACTTCAATTTGCTGTAAATGTCGTTTCTGGAAGCAATCACAGTGAGGTCTCGCCACAAATTTTTAGTTTTAGTACAGCTGAAGCTTTAGCCCTCATGGTAGATTTGGATATATCCGTAAGAAGGTATTTGCTACTTAGGTCTGTTATTAATGGTAAGGCCCAGAACTGCCTTCCTAGTTATAAAGAATTACAGAAAACAAAAAATGCTATCCTCCCTTCACAATTTACTATTACTGAAATTTCTGCAGAAGTTGATTTGCAAGAACTTGTACAGAAAACAGCTGAAAGTATCCTTGAAATAATAAATTTTGAAGAGAAAGATTGCCGGATTAAAGTGATATGCAAGTGGGGATTTGATGGCAGTTCTGGGCATAGCCAATATAAGCAGAAATTTTCTGATTTAGAAAACACCGACGAATTTCTGTTTCTTGTAGCAATGACGCCACTCAGATTGATTGATATGGAAACGAATAAGGTATTGTGGAAAAATCAGAGCCCTTCATCTACTTTATATTGTAGGCCGATCAAGTTTTTATTTAAAAAGGAAAATGCTGATTTAGTGCGGAATACGGAAAAGGAAATAATAACAAAAATTGAAAATTTGATTCCTATTGAGATTAAAAGAAAAGAAGGGCACTCTTATATAATTGAAGTTGATATGATGTTAACAATGTTGGACGGAAGTGTTGGAAACGTTCTATCAGAGACAAATTCAACTATGAAGTGCATCATTTGTGGAGCCACACCCAAGGATATGAACACGTTAGCAGGGATTAACCGTCCTCCTAACGTAGACAATTACCGGTTTGGTTTGTCAATTTTACACTGCTGGATTCGTTTGAATGCTTACTCCATATTGGATACCGCCTGCCAATTAAATCTTGGCAGGTTCGTGGGCCTGAAAACAAAGCTATAGTCGAAGCAAACAAAAAACGAATCCAAGCAGAGTTCAGAGCCAAGCTGTCTCTAATAGTTGACAAACCAAAACCCGGGTATGGCTCCTCAAATGATGGCAATACGGCCAGAATTTTTTTCCACAATCCACAAACAAGTTCAGATATCACAAGGGTTGACAGGGAATTAATCGAGAAATTTGCGATCATCTTAGGAGTGTTAGCTAGTGGTTGCGCTATTGATATGGAAAAGTTTGAGTCATTGCTGGAAGAAGCAAGAAATTTGTATATCCACCTTTATAAGTGGTACAACATACCAAACAGGGTACATAAGGTCGTTGTTCATGGGTGTGAGATAATTGATGCATTTTGTTTGCCCATTGGAGAACTGTCGGAGGATGCGCTTGAGGCTCGCCATAAAGAGGTTAGGAAACATCGATTATCTCACACCAGAAAATGTTCTAGAACAGATACGAATAAGGATCTCATGCGTGTTCTTTTACTTACTTCTGATCCTTTTATATCCTCAAAAAGAAAGCTGAGCTCAAAAAAATATAAGAAATGCAACGAGGCAGTTCAGAACTATTTAAAAAAGCAAGAAAATGATTATTTAGGTATTAACTTAGGTACAATAACGAATGACACAGCACCGAGCAAGAAATCCTATTCCGATTAGAATGAGTATATTTGGTGTTATTTTTTTAATATAGTTTATATTATTATTTCATACATTACCTACTAAGTAATTGTTATTTTGTTAAATATATTTTTTTAAATAAAAACCTAAATATCAATTTCTAATTATACAGATTTATTTTTTATTTGAATTATTTTTATTATTTTTTCAAATAGATAGACAAATTTAATAAATCATATTGCGCCCGCCATAAGTTGGCTACATTATCTTTTAAATCATTCGGTAAAGATCATGAAAAATAAAGGCGTGACTTTTTTGACTCTCTTAAGAATGCTATAATAATATCCGACTTTATCCCAATTTATTCGAGATCATCAACTTAATATTTTGACTTTTACAAAAAAAAAAACGATTTATGCGAAATGCTGCCTGCCACCACTAATAGAAGATGTTCCTCTAAATGTGAGTCAACATATTGGTTCCTACATGATGTTCATGAACATCTAAATAATAGAATTCCGAATAGATGGATAGTGCTCAATGGACCCATTTGTTGGCCTGTTCGCTCCCCGGATTTAACGCTTTGCGATTTTTTTCTGTGGGGATATTTGAAAGCGTTGGTGTATCATCTTGGAGCAGTGAATACTCTGGAAGAACCTCAACAGCGCACTGAAAATGGTTGATATTTAATTCGAAGTTTGTAACGAGCCTTGGATTATCCGACCAAGATCTTGCCTTAATTGAACTAATGGGGACAACTTTGAACAGTTTTTGTAAAAGCGGTATCCATTTAACCTGATGATTTTTTTTTTAAATAATCTACAATAGTGTTAACTAACCCTCTTAGTATGCAACTTTTATATAGGTGGTTTTTGGTATATTCGTTTGACGCGTTTTACAAGCTGTTAAAACAAATGACTCAACTTTGAAAACACCCTGTATAATAAAAGTAGCTGTTCATTTATCAGAGTAGTCTTCCACGGTCCACTCACTTTCTGTGCCACACCATACATTACAAGCAAAAACTAACATAGACTCCATTCGGTAAACGAGTTCAAGAGCAATATTTTATGAAAAAAATTCTCCCACGTCTTTACTGCGACTAATTTAATTCTATTTTATTCGCCTCCAGGGGGTTGTGGCAGACAGAGTGGGTGCCTCGAGAAAATTATTGAAGTTCAGCGATGGAATTTCAAACTGTTATGGGATAGAATCCATATCAAGTGTACTGAGCAAATGTACATAAAATATGAAATACAGGCCCCTGTGGAAATTCTTGGAACGCTTCGGGCAGACAGAGTAAAAGCAATAACATGTTCCTACAGAACAACGTACAATCGTTCATGTAAGCAATTATGTATGGCATTGTTCGATCTTTGGTTGTGATAATCACAATGATAGTATTGTTGGGGCAGCAAATGACAGGGAAGGGGAACCAGTGATGTAATGTTTGTAGATACAGGTGATAGGTGGTATCGACACGTACTGCTGCACATCGCTAGTCAGAAAGTGTAAGGGTGAGCTGTAGATGGAGACTGTCATACCTCTGTGTTACAGACCGTCTGCGCCACCCACTGCACTCAAGCTCGCTTAGCTACACGCTGCCAGAATACATTTGTTCATATGTGGCCAGTCGCGACTAAACCGCTCATAAGATGAGCGAAAGTATACTGGCAGCGCGTAGCTGAGCGAGTTTAAGTGCACCCGGTGGCGCGGCGGTACTAACTTACCTCTTTTGTTGGTATTCACTTTTTAGATTGTTATACTTGGCAAACCAGAATTAAGTTTAATTGGTCTAATTTTGAGACGATCTTCTTGTAAGCCAATCAGAACACAATGCCTTCCATTATCACAAACTAGATCCTTGGTTTTCGCTTGTGTCAATATGTACAGTGGTTCAATTTCCATAGAGACAAATGACAATTCATGGTTTTCATTATATAACTTTTTTGTCTTCAATTCCAATTTATTTATCATGGAATTGTACATAATGTGTACGTATTCACAAGTAGTTTTTTTCATACCGGCCTTTGTTAATTTTTTTTTATACAAGGAGATTAAAGAGGAATCCTCATTGCTCTACTTTTTAATATCCCAAATGCAGACACTTACATACATTACTTTGTGTCTTCGTAAGTAAAGAGTATTTCTCTTCTGTTCAACTTTTCCATAAGTATATTTGTCATAGAGTCTGATTGTCAATAATATTATTTCTACACAGTGCCTTTTTTGTCTTGGAGCTACACTTCTCTTTAAGGATATTTGAGTAACTTGTTTGAGGAATAATGGTTTCTGCAAGAAAACAATATCTCAATAAGGATTTCGGGAGATGCTAATGCTGAGATCGACTGGTCTAAGTTAAAAAAATAACTTTAGACACTAATTTTGGCACTCTAGAAATAAATGATCTTCAATTCTGAAAGCCGTATAATACAAATTCCCTTTCCATATCCCCCTGTTGACAATATAATAATTCAGAACTGCTAACAATGATTGATGTGGTGGGAGTCAGTCACGCGAATAACATGAACAAATGGAATCGCTTCGACGCTGTTAACATATTTCAGTCTGAAAGGACATTGTATAATATTATAATATATAGCAGCTCCGTTTCTCTTGCCAGCAGAACAAATAACGAAACCCCCTGGAGATAACGTATTGTTTTATGATATACGTTGCATAAACGTCGCACATACTTGTGTCTACTTCTCTATCTGAATTATATGTTTGCCCTCCGTCCCCGAAATCAGCCCTACAACCACGACAGTTCATGCTTGTTAGCAACTACTAGTACAATACAGGTTTTGAGGACAAACAACGGAAAGAAAACAAAGCACATTGTAGATAACGTATTGTTTTATGATATACGTTACATAAACGCCGCACATACTTCCGTCTACTTCTCTATCTAAATTATATGTTGGCTGTCCGTACCCGAAATCAGCCCTACAGCCACGACAGTTCATGCTTGCTAGCAACTACTAGAACAATACAGGTTTTGAGGACATAAAACGGAAAGAAAACAAAGCACATTGTAGATTACTAAAGAACTCAGACGGAAGTTCGCAAGGAGGTAACTACTGTCACCTGGTATTCTATATCACAACCCCTACTTCAGCAATCCAGGAAGCCTCTCGCTTCCTGGCCCTAAACGGAAGCGTGGGGCATGCTGCCTTTCCAACTTGAGCACGCTGAATTTTTTCCCATGTAGGTTTGATTTAAACACACCAATGGTGCACAGTGCGCAGAGGTTTAAAATATGGAAAAGCTTACAAAGAGTACAATTTTACAATGTTCACTGCATTTATACATGTGTCTATGTATGAGGGCATTTTAAAGTCACCTCAAGGTCACTCCAATGACAATAAGCCAAGAAGTTGAGCCTTATCATGTGTTTAAACGTTTTTATAACCCTTCCAGGAGTGATGATGGTTAGTTGAGCATCAACGTCACCAGACATGGTTAATGTCTGTGTAAGTTCACAGATGTCTAGCAAACTCCATCATGCCGATCACAGCTCTATAATCATGTGCACATTGCGTAGAAAGTGGGACGATACGTCATTTTTCATTCCTGTAGGCGACCGACGCGTCTACAATTTGCAGAGACCTGTGAGACTAACAACCAGAAAGTTGGGCCACTTTCAAATAACTAAAATCCACCATTATATGAGAAATATGGCACACTATGAAGAAATATACAGGGTGTCCGCAAAGTTGGGGTTTTCCTTTTCAGAAACAACTACCGTTGAAATAACAAAGGTAATGTGTAGTGAAACGAGGACGACCAAGTAAAAAAAAATAAAGGAAAAAGTACTCACTCTCCAGTTGACGAGAAGGACTAAGTACGTCTCTGCCCGAAATCATACCGCTCCAACAGAAAATGAAATCAGCTGATGCGCTACCGAGCAGACGTACCATGCCAGCCCAAACATTCACCGAAAATGTTTGTTGAAAATGTGCCCGACGGACAGCGTGCGGATTTTCTACTGACCAAACATGAGTGTTGCGAAAGTTATTCACCCCATTACGCGTGAATGTAGATTCGTTTGTCACCAATATGCACTTCAAAAAGTCCGGATTATTCTCATGTTGATGCAACAACCACTCACAAAACCGCGCTCTTGCTGGAAAATCGTCAGCCTGAAGGGCTTGTACACGTTGGAGGTGAAATGGATACAGCCCCTCTTCTCGCAGCGTTTGCCACACTTTAGTTTTTGATACTTGCACTTCTCTAGACACGTCTTTAGTGCTTGTTGAGGGATTCTCGTCTACGCGATTACCTCTACAGGCGTGACAGTAACCGTCGGTTGAAGGTTGCATACTGACCTGACACACTGACCCCGACCCAGTTCTTCAGTCTTCAGTCGTCGGGTTGAACCAGTGACATTGTACCACTCCGTGACGTCGCGGCTACAGGACGGTATTCATATATTTTTCATGTTGCAGAGCCCTTTATCTCGGTTCTCTTAAGACATTGGTGTATATGATACTAAGAAAAATTGCTTATGTTTTCAAGATCTAAACGTCGTGGAAAGGAAAACCCCAACTTTGCGGACACCCTGTATAGAAGATCAGATGAATGAATAAATAAGCCACAAAAGGCAAAGCACTGAGCTCGGTATAAAAGAAATAAATAACTATGATTGTTCAATACTCGTACCGCTCAGACGTAACAGGAAATAGTTTTATGCACCTTTCTATATAATCTTGAACTTCAAGAATGCCTGAATCAAGATGCTGTACAAACACGTGGTTTTTATAGGTGTAGACAGCATTTTATATTTTCTATAGATAACGTTGTTGGCCACATGTTTTTTAAATAAACTGTTTTGAACTTTTCTTATCTCTATAGACACTACATGTAGAGGGTCAAATTTAATTGATTGCTAAAAGCACAGGATATGATTTCTCAGCTCATGTTAGGAAGAAAATATCATATGAATATATGTCCTAAGCCTCTTAATTTTTGAGCTACAGGGTGTTAAAATTTTAAGTAAAAATTCGTTTTCTTATAACATTAATAGTGTTCAAGATATT